GACAAAATAGTGACAAAAAGGGACAGTGCAGAAGTGCTTTCAGTGGCTATTAGCCCCAAGGGCTAAAGCAAACCTCCATGTCCAGAGGCAGTCTATCCAGAACTGAGCTTGCCAGTATGGTAGCTGAGTACCAGCATACTCATGCATAAACATCAAAAGCATAGACACACACAGGCCTCATACTGAAGTAGAATCATAGAATGTTAAGAGTTGGAAGGGACCTTACAGGTCATCTAGTCCACCCCCCTGCACTCTGCAGGAGCAGAGCCGAAAGACAGCCCTACATACCTACATACCTAACAACATACCCGAAAGATGGTCGTCCAGCCTCCGCTTGAAAACGTCCTGCAAAGGAGCCAGACTGTTCTACTGCTCAACCACTCTTACAGTGAGGAAGTTTCTCCTGATATTTAGCCGGTAACGACACCCCTGTAATTTCCACCCAATGGATCTAGTCTTGCAATCCGGAGCAAGAGAGAATAGATCTGCTCCATCTTCTACATGACAGCCCTTCAAATTCTTGAAGACTGCCATCATGTCCCCTCTAAGCCTTCTCTTTCCCAGGCTAAACAGACCCAACTCTTTCAGCCTTCCCTCATAAGTAGTCTATCAAGGTCAGTATGGTCTACTCGGACTGGCAGCAGCTCTCCAGGGTCTCAGGCGGGGGGGGGGGGTCTCTTTCACATCACTTACCGATCCTTTCAACTGGAGATGCCGGGAATCAAACCTGGGACCTTCTGCGTGCAAAGCAGAGACTCTTCCGCTCAGCCACAGCCCCTCCCCTAAGCAAATACTGGGGGTGAAGGAAGGAGTACCGCCTGGGTTTTATACATCAAATGGGCTCGGAACCGTTTCAAAGGCCACCCACAAGGACAGCCACAATTGTGGAAGCTGCTGGACCTACTAGGGGTGCCAGCCTCCAGGTGGGGCCCGGGGATCTCCTGGAATTACAGCTCATCTCCAGACCAATGCTCCCTCTAAGCTGTTGAGTCTTGTGAGCAAAAATTCTACTTTGTGAGCTCCTGGCATTCTGTCAGCTAAAGCTGCCATGAGTGTGGTGTATGTTTCTAATTGCTTTGCATTCATTCCCATGCACATAATCGCTTCAAAGCTGTAACGCGTATCTATCAAGGTCACTGGAGGAGTTGGTACTGTCTAGGTTTCGTGGGAGCTTCTTACGTTCCCAGCTTCACAGATGTTAGAGAATCTGCCAAGTGCCCACGTGCGGGAGGCCCTCTAATTGGGTATCGCTATGGGGGGGGCGCATACGAATGCCCTATATCCTACTATGCGCATAGGTAAGCCGCCATTCCTAACAGTGTTCGTGTTATTGCATCTATGGCTTTTCAATAAAAGTAAAACCTTCCTGAAAGCACGTACTTCATTGTTTTGCTGTGGATCCTGACACATTCAGGTTGTGAGCGAGCGATTTGGCTGCTGCATAAATCAGTTTGATCTGGAGCCATCCCTTCCTGAGCTGAGGCAAAAATGTGTGAGCCGGAGCCTAAAAAACTGCGAGCTATCTCACACTAACTCAGCTTAGAGGGAACACTGCTCCAGCCTACAGAGATCAGTTCTCCTGGAGAAAGTGGATGCTCTAGAGGGTGGACTCTATGGCATTTTACCCCTACTGAAGTTCCTGTCCTCCCCAGACTCCATCCACAAATCTCCAGGAGTTCCCCAAACTGGTTCTGTCAACCCTACCCCCCATCCCCCACCAGTGGCCTGGGAGACCGGGCAACAATATATAACCTGCAAATATTGGGGGGTGGGGGTGGGGGGGTGGAACAGACAACATTCGGCAGACTTCAATTTAGTGGCCGTTTGCCTCAGAACCTCCATGTTCAGAAGCAGTCTAGCCAGAATGCAGCTTGCTGATATGATCCTCAGGCGGCGCACACGGGAAGGTTTTGTTGGGAGCGACTTCAATCCATCGGGTCTGCGATGAGTTGGATGTTCCACCCGGGTGAATGCAAAACTCCCTTCAGCCTCCTTTTCACGTGCTGATTGACAATTCATTTCAAATATCAACTGAAATAGCTTCACCAGAATTGCACAAGCCCAAGTTACCCTCGCTAGACGAAGAGGAGGAGGAGGAGGAGGAGATTGGATTTATACCCCACCGTTCACTACCCAAAGGAGTCTCAGAGCGGCTTACAAACTCCTTTCCCTCCCCCTCCCCACAACAGACACCCTGTGGGGTGGATGGGGCTGAGAGAGCTCTGACAGAAAACTGCTCTTTTTCAAGGACAGCTCTGGTCAGAACTACGGCTTGCCCAAGGTCATCCAACCAGGTGTGAGTGGAGGAGTGGGGAATCAAACCCAGTTCTCCCAGATTAGAGTCCGCACACTTAACCACTACACCAAACTGGCTCTCTTATGATGCGCACTAGACCTTGTCAGCAAAGTTGACTCCGAGCCAAGGCAGAGCAAAGGGGAAAACAGCCAACCAAAGCCAAACCTCCGCCGGGACCTGTCTCAGCTCGCTAAACCACACAGCGCATTTGCTGCGAAGGTGTTGCGATGCAGTGGTGCTCCCCCACCGTACCACAACAAAGCACATCCTTCCCTCTTTCATCATGGAAGAAAAGAGTCGCATTGGATCTGGAAGCGGCGCACAGGCTCCAGATCCAGGCCTGGAGGGAAATCTAGTTTCCAAGGAAAAGCTGGCTCATCCCTCCAGGCATAGCACTAAGGTGCGTTCTGGGGGTGGGGATATGCGCAATCTTCACAAACGCACTCAGAAAAGTTTAAGCTGCGCTGCTTGCAAACGGTCATTCTCGAGTTGAGCATCCCGTGTAGGCACCCTGCTGATCTGTTTGCCGTTTTAGAACAAGTGGTATTGGGTGTATTTGATCCGCACAGATGGCTCAGTCACCAATTGGGCATCCTGCCCATAAATACATGCCCAGAGCTTACTTGAGGTTCATGGGAGTTGTAGTTCTTGGTCTTCCAATATAATTCAAGGGGCTGCGGAAACTACAATTCCCAACAGTGCCGGCAGAAAACAGTGAGGCCCCAACCAGAGGCCATCACCTGTCTGAAGAGCCACTCCCCAGTGGTGGACTAAACTTTTCCCTTCCCCTTGGAAATGGAGGTTTGGGGGTTGGGTGGAAGAACAGACAGAACCTGCTTGTGAGCACATGTTTTGTGAGCAGCCTGCTGAACACTTGCAAATGCATGACAGTTTGGCAGAGGCGCTTGGAAAATGCAAGTGGTTTGGGGTTGAGCACACAGAGCATTCGCCATCCTCAATCTCTTCCTTTGAGCTCCCCGGGATTAACGACAAGTAAAACTCCCCTTGCACTTGGCGGGTCTACCACGCTTGATCTCTCCATGCAATGGTCAGCCATAAAAGGAGCAGTGGTTACGTTTTAAGACATACACCTTTCACAAAGACAGTGAGACTCAACCAGCCCGGCCAGTGGCTCTGAGCATGCTCACGAGAAGACTTCCTCTGGAACATCTCCAGCTGATACTCCTGTCTTCGGCCAACAGAAGAGCCCTGCTGGATCGGACGAGAGGCCCACACAGTCCTGTTCCCCACGGTGATCAAGCAAATGTCCCTGAGAGAGCCTGTCAGCAGGTGTACCAAGATGTCGATTGATTCCCCAGCAACTGGTATTCAGAGATAGACAGCTTCTGAAGGGGGAGGATTCATTTCACTATCACATCTAATTGCCTTTCAGGGGCCAGTCCTCCATGATTTCGCTAACCCTCCTACACTGAAAAAGGTTCTGAAAAATCAAAATGTTTGAGGACCAGCGTCTTAGAGGCATCAGGGATGAATGTAGAGAGAACCTGGAGTTCTCTGCTTCTGGGGGTGGAGATTTGAAAGCCAGTTTGGTGTAGTGGTTTAAGTGCGCGGACTCTAATCTGGGAGAACTGGGTTTGATTCCCCACTCCTCCACTTGCAGCTGCTGGATGACCTTGGGCAAGCCATAGTTCTTTCAGAGCTGTTCTCTCAGGGACAGTTCTCTCAGAGCTCTCTCAGCCCCGCCTACCTCACAGGGTGTCTCTTGTGGGGAGGGGAAGGGAAGGGAAAGGAGTCTGTAAGCCGCTCTGAAACTCCCTTGGGTAGTGAAGGGCGGGGTATAAATCCAGTATCATCTTCTTCTTCCACAGTAGCTTGAAAGAAGGAGCATACCATATCCCTTGACTAAGCACCAGCGAGGACCACCCGAATTCTCCCTAGGAGCTAAAATGAGTAAACTGAGGCTATTACGAGAAGACAAGACTCGCTGAAAAATACAACAATGCGAAGGAAAGCTGAAGGCATCAGGAAAGAGAAGACCCGGCATGAGATGGATCGACTCATTCGAGGAAGCCACAAGGGCCCTCCCTCTGCAAGATCCCTGAGCAAGGCTATTAACGATGGTATGTTTTGGAGGACATCGATTCAGAGGCTCACCATAAGTCGGAAGTGACTCAGCGGCACATCGCACGCACATAGGACCCCTTGTTGCTTTTGAAAGGGAGATACCTTTGGATTCCTCCATAACTGAGCCCAGAAGGAAACGAGACAGGCTGTTTCTGGCCACAGCATGTGCTTTAATCACACATGACGCGACAGGTGGGAAGAGCTGCCCCACCCCCCAAGAGAAACAGCTGAGACGGAAAACAAGGTTTGATTGTTCAAAACAAAATTATCAGGGAGCTGGGGGGGGAGTCAGGACAGGAAATATTGGCCTTCTGGCCAGCTGTTGCAGGAAAAAGGCTGCTGGAACAGCTGAACTGCCGGTCTGATCCCAGAAGACCCTTCCCCTTCCTTTTCCACTGCCGCAAGCACACTGTTCTGACACGCATCACCTTTCCCTTACCAACACTGAACTTCATTTGCCACACTGTCGCCCACTCACTCAGTTTGCAGAGATTCTCTTGGCACCCTTCAATCAGCCTTGGTTTTCACCTTCCTGAATAATTTGACCCGCCCCTCCTCATCCTCACAACAACCCAGTGAGGTAGGTTAAGCAGAGAGATTGCAAAAAACAAGAACCAACCTGGGCGAAGTAGTCACCACCACGTCGTGGAGCGAAACACCATTGAGTTCAGGGAGGGAAGGCTTCAGGACCTCAGCTGAGGGGTATGCTAATACAGCCGGTGCCTCCATCCTGCAGACGGGGGAAAAAAGATTAACTGTTTAGACGGGAGGCGAGCTTGAGAGGTTGCACCGCCTTCTGCCGCTCGAGGCAGACAAAGCCCTTCTGAGAAACTGCCACCAACACCCATGCAAAATGCCCCTCTGCCCACCTCCCTGAACTTATACTGGGTCCCACCACCATTTCCAGACCCCTCCTCAAATTCGACTCCCTTTTGGATCAAGCCCTTTCCCTCCCTGCCCCAATGGAAAGAAAATCCAAATGTCTTGCAATGCAACCGCGGTCAGTTTTGCCCTGCCCAACACCTCTGGGACTCCCCAAATGTATAGTCTAAGCTCAATGGGGCGGGGGGGGGCATCAGCCTCGGTAAGGCTGGTGAAGAATCCCTTTTCCCAGAAAGGGTGGTCTAATCCAGACCCACCCAGCACCAGGATCCTAGCAATCACGAGGCCCTCCCGTGCAAACACACCCGGGGAGTCCTTTAACCCTTCAGCCGGATATCTGAGCGCCTGGCCAAAATAAAAAAAGAAGCAATCGTTCGGAGCCAAACAAACCCCATCTTTGTATTATTAGCAACCCAACGTGGCCTGAATATGATGTTATTTCTATTACTCAATGTCAGC